AGATGGTTTCTTCGTAATGCTGTAGTATAGGAGCGAATCGCCATATTGGATTTCAGCCCCATGCGGAGACCCGATCTAGCCCCCCCCCCAAGAAAAATCCTGCGTACGCCACTGGTCCTCAGAGTGCTGATCTGGCGCGAATGCTCAAGATTCCCATCTGCTCTGTGAGCTCACGTCAGGCTCGAAGCGAATTCCCAAAATCGACGCCAAGCTGCTTGACGACGGCATGTGCAGGAAGCGCCCCGAATATCATTCATCCTTCTATCGCCAGTTAAGGTTTCTCCGCTCGATAAGTTCGGTCCCTGAGTGCAGAGATCGCCCGTCCTCATCGTGGCGCCTCCTGGGTTTTCTGCAGTTCAATCGATCACACGCACCATATCATTGAGCCTCGACATCAGAACATTGTCCCCGAAAGAGACCCGCTGTGATCATCTGCTGGGAGAGAGCATTTTCAGAGCAGACGGTAGAACATCTCCTGACACCTATATTCTCTGGAACCGTTCTGATCGCGCACGTACTTTCCGTAACCGCGGGCTCTTACGTCTTCGAGGGCTGCAGTCGAAATTTTCACTTGAGATCACGCGAGTGCGATAATCCAAATCCAGACCGTGAGGTTGTGCTTGAGACGCCTGAAAGAGCCGGACGCTCACTGTTCGAGCGAAGCAACTAACGCACTCATATCAGAGATTTTCGGCGCCATCGGAGCAACCACAACAACGAGATGGTCACCGAAATATGATCTTCCGTGGCGACGAGCCGTTTTTTCTCGGCGGCGACCGGAATATTCCGTCTCGCCTTGCGAATGCGCGGCAGCGGTCGACTTGGTAGTGCCGTCCTTCATGGAGGGTCTGTGAGCGTAAGAATCTTTGGAGGGCTGTGACATTGTGAGTGCGAGCTCCATTGCTCAAACACCGCTCTGGTTTTGAGACCAGATTAGATATCGGGTTTTGCCGAATATCTGCCATAGCTCACAAGTAAGGTAATCATCTCGTATTACATCGTGAATAAAGGAACAGCGAGCGGAACTCTGGTTTCTCGTCTCGAATGGAAGGCCAGATTGCTCTCAGGCCCGGGCTTTAACCGATGATATTCGACCCGTCGCTGAGCTATGAGTCCTTCCGCTTGTCTACTCAAAGGGCGTCGGGACATCCGAGGGCTCGACGATGTTTAAGCTAGTATTCCTGACGGTTATCTGCCGGGAAATCCCCGTGTCGATCTCGAGATCGATGCGCTCACGGTCTTGCTCTACTCCCGACGGTGATTGGCGGCTGCAATTCCCGCTTTGGTCGACCGCTGTCACGGGATGCCCCCGGCAAACGGAGCTTCGCGATTGGAATTTCGACTTTTCCCGCAGAACTTCAATTCCTCCAGAAGAATGAAGCATAGTCGACCCGGGAAAATGACGTACCCTTGTCCCCTGCTCCCCTTCCGGGATCGAGCTCGCGCTCACGACTTTCGTCTGTGCATAGTATCGTGGATCACGATCCGAAGATCGGCACCGTCTCCGAGTCTAATGAATCCGACCCTTAGAGACTCGTATGAGATCAGATCGTCATCCGGAGCTACTTCCGTCACAGCGATTTTTCATAGGGGGAGGGGAATCATCGATGACTCGGACGAAAGGATTTCACTTTGGCACATAGCAGACAGCAGATTCGGCACAACAACGTGTTCTCATGGCCCGGAACCTGTGACGAGTCTGACACCGGGCTTTTCCCGGGATGAGAAGAGCTGCGCCTACCGAGGCGGTAAATCCGTTGAACGCTGAGACTAGCAATAAGAACCATACTCTCACGATGGAAGAGCGGGCGACCTTTGAATATGATCGAGAGCGCTCGGTCGAGAATGATCGGAAACACGACTGAAGCGTGTCCGAGCAGCATAAATATGCCAAATCAACGGTCCACTCTCCGGACTCTGGGTCGGAGCCTTGCACCGCTGAGAGGTCTCTGACTCGAGAACTAGGGTATCTGCTTAGAGCTAACTCGGGAAAAGCTTCTCTGATCGGCAGATTAGACGAATGAGCTAGTCACTTTGAAGAGTCGACAGCGAATCCAAGCAGAAAACAGCAAAATCTGTGGATGAAAACGTCACCTCGAGATGTTCTTGTGGCGAGCCGAGTCGAAGGCACAGGACGAGGTGTCGCCAGACAAGCTCATTACCGGGATCGAATGAGACAGCTATGGGTCGGTGGTCGATACTGTCGCGAGCTCGCAGACGGAGGAACGAGAGATAAGGCCATCCCTCCGAATCGATCTCATTCTATCAAGGACCCGGCGCGGCAGCTTATGCATGACCGCTGGATCATTGCAGGAATTCATCGGTCGCTCTTCGACAATCACAAGCATTGCGTTCTTTCCATAAAAAAAATATCGATTGGTGAGTGTCGATAACGGAGGCTGATCGACGATGCGATGGGTTTTGCCCGTCATCGGAGTACGCGTTTCAGAAACGTTTATTCACAACGTCTGATAGGCTCATGGGAGGATTATAATAATTGTCGGCATGGAACCCGCCGGATTGTCGGCAATGAAGCTGGACGTTGCGCCGTCCGGCGAGTACCCAGCCTTCAGAACAGTATGATTTGAAGCATCCCCGAATCAGGCGTGATAGTGAATGAATGTCCCAGATCGGGTCACGTCCCCCAAATTCATATATGCGAGGCATAAGCCCGGGCTTGGATACTCGTATTGTCGAGGATCACACTCGACCTGAGCTGGGTTAATCCGGCTCTCCGACGCCGGACAGCAGGCCCGACGAGAAGGGAGGTACCGGGACTTTTTTCCCCGGGCCCAGGGTCTCCGGAGGGCCCCCTAGCTCAGGCCTTAGTCAAATGATTCTGTCTGCGTCCTAAATGAAAGGAAACTGAAATGGAGGAATGAAAGGAAACTGCAGCTCTGACCCATTCGTTGCATCACTTTTCTAGTGACAGATCACAGACCATGATCGAGAGAGACCCATGTCCGAATTTCCCCCCGGGCCCAGAATTTCTCTCTGCGGCCCTGCATGATAGTGTCGGGAAGGATCACAAGAGTCGGAAAGGCATCCGAGTGAAGTGAGAGTCCTTTGAAATGTGAGGAGCTACCGTTGGCTCGGTGATACGTTCTTCTGAGAGCGACCCCGACGATTTTTCATTCATTCGAATCGTTTATTCACACTGACTTGACGTTTGTATCATGAGTTGAATACATAAGATAACTATGGGCAGGTAGCCAATCCAGCTTGAATCATACACGGGTGTCTAGAGATGAGCCAGGGTGTTGAACGTAGAGACAGATGCGCACTCTCTTGCGTGGTATCGGTCGTCTTCCGGCTCGTGGAATGTCTTGTTCACGCATGACTTGAGCGAGCCGGTTTAGGGTGGATCGGTGTAGACCGAGCGCTCTCTCGAGGAACGCCGTCTCAATCCCGACGAATTTTATCATTATTATCAGGTACTCTGAGGCTCGGACGGAAGTTCCTCTAATCGAGGGGTCCTTCCGTAACTTTCCTTCATCAGCATCGGATATGGTGCAGTATCACCTCCTCACTGCAGACCGTGTAGCAAGAAATTTCGCTGTAATGAAAGCTTTTTTTCTAATATTCTAGTAGGTCTCCCGAAGACTTAACGGTTAAATAAGCTCGCTACAACGATTATTGATTTCAGCGAATCGCTACTGCTGTCGCCTAGGTTAGTGTTCGTTGGAACGAGATTGTGCTGTCAAATGAAAATATAATTAGCGGCTGATAGGTGACAATGAGAGAGAAAGAAGCGAAGGAAAACCGCCGGCAAGAGGAGAGGGTGCTGCGAATCGCTCGTGCATTGCAGCGTCGGACTTTCCGGGTTTCAGATCAGAACCCCAGAGTCTGAACTCCGGTACGCGATCACCAGTTTGGCGGCCTCCAAGGTCCCTCCTGTCTTGAAATGAACGATGCCCGATAATTATGGGCATCGTTATTCAGGCCACTGTTCCAGCGAGGCCTGAGCGCGGAGCGCCGCGTTCAGGTCAGTGCCACGCTCCATTCCTATCCCGCGCTTTCATTCCACTCCGTGCTCGAATGCTCGCTGCGCTCAAACTCATACCCCGCCGACCCGTGACGTCACCGAATATATGCCCAATAAAACTCGATTTGAAGAAAATTGATGCGGCTCTGAGAAGGCAACTCTTCCTGAGCATGTCGAGACCCAACGCTCAATCGAGAGGAGAGATTCACAACTCCATTCTTCCGAGATGGGGTTCCCGGACACTCTTTCGAAAGCACCTCGGTGAACTGTTTCGTGCATCAATATAACGTATGGACAGCACTCGATTCCAGAGAAATTAGCGGATGTGCCATCGGGGCACGCCTCAAGCGGCCATCGATTCCTGGGGCGCATTGAGCTCGTCCAAAGGGTCCGAATGCACTTTCGATATTGATGCGAGAATTACATCGAGAATTACACTTTTATTCCGGCTCTTGAACGCGGTTCACAGCAACGCGTTCACCTCTCATAGCGCGCGCGGTTCACGTACGCATGTCATCTCTCATCTCCTTCGTGGATATCTAGGGCCCTTGTTCGCCGGTCTACGATGTTGAGAATCACAGGCCACGTCGCGGCCAGATTAAGCCTCCGACCTTTCTGTGGATCTCTCGGCGGTTTTCCTTCATTCTCCCCGGGCTCATCATTGGTTTTCCCTTGGGTTCCCAAGAATAGAGTAGATACCATCCTCGGCTTGCTGAACATGTTTTATTTCAAAACAAATCTGTCTGACTGAGTCTTTCGGATATCGTCCATGCTTTTGTGCAAAGTTCTCTTATATAACACCAGCGATAAAAGCTCACTTTCCATCGAGTGTGAGTTTTCTGATGGTCTCCCTGAATTCATATCCATCTATGTATGCAGATCACAACTGTGTCAACATCAGAAATATATAAGCTCTGCCCTGTCGTAATCCGCTCCAAACCCTCTTCCGATTTCCTACTTAAGAGTATGTGTTCCCGGGATTTGCAATACGCGATGCTGCATAGCTCCACAGATCTTGCCCACTCAGAAGCTTTAGACAGGGCTAGGCCTGCGAGACTTCCGACTCCTTTCTTGGATCCCGGATCTATTATAAAAACGCGGCCCGATCGGGAACACCGAGATGCGAAAACTTAGGGACGCCGGTCGGAATTGCAACCGGGTATGCAAACGTTGAAAACAGTCGATGAAATTAATTTCTCCTGAGCATGCAAAATATACTGTTGAGTGTCCGGGTGCGAGATCTTTCTCAGAATGACCCCGTCTCCCTCTTCCACATATATAAAATTGATTGTACTGACCTCGCCTGCGACGGCCGCGATTATGGCGACGAAACGCTCGTCTCACCCTTGTTCCAGACAAAAACGGTGAGTACTGAGTGTGTATAACGTATCGAGACTCGGCAGGTACAAATGGCTGGACAAGAACTAGACTGTCTCCGAACCTGGACGGGGGAGGTTTCCAATCCGGAACTATAAACTCTATGCGAAAATTTCAGTCTACTTAATCGAGGATTCCGATCCACAACCCGTTTGAGCGCTGAATCCTTCAAGTTTTCAGTAAAATGCATTTCAGTCACCAGTGGAGGGAATATCTTGGTATACTTTGAGCAAGTGAAATCAGGAAGCGTAACCAATTCCGAAATGCATGCTAGGTCCCCGGAGGGAAAACACAGTTTCAGGCTACGTCGACGGAATGAGGAAGGATTCACCGTCCAGCGCGGATTAATTTCACGGCAGTGTACTTCTTCGACGAAGGCCTCTCTTTTCTCTGTAATCGAGGTGAATACGATCATTACAAGGGGGATCAACAGTCATGACGTCGGAATCTTCTCTCTTATGGCGCCCCATAATCGACGAGTCGAGCTCACCTTTTTTCGAGCGTGTGACACAAGGAATGCCAGCGCGCACATGATAGCGAAAAGACCCAAGAATATCCACAGCGAAGCAGCAAACGTCACGTAACTGGCGAGGTCTTCCGTCACGAGTCGTATTTTGAATGCCATATCGTCGTTAACAGTTGCGGAAGTCTCCAGCCAGAATGTGGGCAAATACTGTAGATTGAATTTTTCGAACATTCGGAAATCTGAAAGTATCGAAACGTAAATGACGCAGTTGGGGTGGTGCAGAGGGGATTCTCATTGTACGCAAGCTTCTCGAGTCTCCGAGTCAATTCGAGATGGCACGGATAATAACATCAGATATACTCCCGCAATACTCCCGCAGATGTACTCCCAGGCAAGGCGACAGAGGTCAGGAGCTCGTTTGGAAAGCGTTCGACGCGATGCGTCACAAAATGGAATCGAAATTTACTCACGCTCAAATTTGTCGACAACGACATTCATTTGCATTCTGGCGGACACCCGAACCGGGATCCCCATAACCGGTTCCACATCCATGAAGAATTCATGCAAATCTTCTTCTGGTCTCAGACCTTCCACAGCTGAGATCAATGATGGGTTCGAGTGAAGGAAGTGGGGTAGAGACACTACGAGAGGCGCATCTGCAAGGGAAGCTTCCACGTCACGTCGGTCTGCCGAGAATTTACCGTCACCCGTATAGGGAGGGAATGAAGATCCCCGACTCTAGCGATACTGGATGAAGACATTTATTGTGGTTTGAAATCGGAAACGGACCTCGCTGACACCGATTGATGTCCAGAGCACCATTAGGTGGGCAGAGATATTCTCTTTTAGTCTTCCGGCAGAAACACTTGTTCTCCTCGACATCGTAATCGAAAAGCTTGTCGTCGATGTGGTAGCGCAGAACCTGGTGGTGATAAACATTAGCTTCGGTAATCAGGTCGCAGCGCATCTTGGATACAAGTCAATCATGTGAACAGCGAAATCGCGATCACGTGATTCTGCCAGATCATCAAAGATCGCCGGTTTCCGATATCTTCCTTTGTAACGGGATATTTTCCTCCATCTCATTGACTGCATTGTCGCTGACCTTGATGCCTTTGACGGTCTCGTCTCTCTTGAACTTCAGACTGAGCGATCTACACAGATGCGAAACGAAAAACGTCAATTGTTTGTCCGCACTGATACTGTAAGGCGGCCACATTTCCCCAGTCGTTCCGTTGATGGCGTTGCATGGTGTTTTGAAGCCAGCTGCCTTTTGTTGTCCTTGCCAATTATCAATCGAGCCGTAGTTGTGCATTCCTTTCGATCCCGTGAAAACAGTGTAAAGGCCGTCGTTGCTGTTGTTTCGCTGAGATAAAGGCAAGCGTTTAGTTTCTTGCGGCTGCATCTTCCGACCCAGAGGAATCAGGATTTCAGGGGAGCTCCAGGCCCTGCCACCAGAACTCACATCGATCTGATAGGCAAACCTATCCGTGTGGGACCAGTTCAAAGTTTTCGCGAAGCTCATCATTTCGTCTTGATAGCCCTCGAAGAGAAGCTCCCTGACCTGCCGGAAAGAATCAACGAGTGAGATACTGGCCATTCATATCAGAGGCTAAGAATGCACAAGCAGAGACAAACGTTGATCGAGTGTACCAGGGATTTTACCTTGCGTTTCATGAAGACCGTCTGGTTGTATTTAGCGAACATTTCTTGAAGTCCGTCAGCCATGACTTGTCTCTCGTCGGCTCGGTTCAATCTATTTCTGAAGGCAGCTCCCTTAAAATCGAAGGTCATTTTGAGTGGGTTCCGGATAAAGGACTTTCCGGTTAAACCTTCTCACGTGCGAAAACTCCACGATCCTTCTTCTGTGAGAGTAAATTGTAGGTTTCGAATCTATGACTAGTGTTCGATTTCTCCGAGGAACGGGTTCGACCGGACATTGTGCCGGCTGGAGCCGCTTCGAGCGATTGTCCATGCTTCCCCGATTCCCGGCTCCGGTCAGCATCGAGACGTTCTGCACTGGTCTTGGCGTGATCAAGATCAGGTGGACCAGTCTGAACGCTGAGGATTCTTGTCCGCGACGTGAAATGGATAAGTGGCGTGCCCTTCAACCCATTCAATCATTATCGCTATCTGCTCTGATATGGAGAATCGGATAGGAATATGATCACTATCAAGATGGTTGGTGGCTTGGAACCACAAGAAAACGAGGAGCTCGCCAGATTTGGCTAGGAAGCCCCAGCGGAAGCAACGATCGAAGGATGAGGGAGCTTGATAGATTACCGCGGATAGACACATAATTTTTGAAGAACGATCAATGCATGCGAATCTCGGAAGCTCCACATGAGCAGCCGGGTCGGGAGAGTGATTAGATAAGCGAACTCCGCCGAACGAATGATCGCGCTTGGAAATTCTTCGTCAGCTCTAACGTGCATGGATAATGGCACGATGTGCGCAAACATTCCGATCGAGATTGTCTGCAAGAATTTCGGCGCTTGCCGCTGGTGTCAGCTTACGATTATAGGCACATTCAGTGTGATGACTTCGTCATCGAGATCTCCTTTCGTCAAGTTCGGGAGAAACTCGTACGAAACAACTTGGCGATATGTGACAGTTCCATTGTCGTTGAAGCTCACGTCTTCTTTTTTTCGATATTCCCTGTAATTTAGATTTGATCACAATGTAGCCCCTGCAGTCTACGCACAAGACGGAACCGAGGATGAGGGATCACAAGATCTCTAAAGGAAAATGGATAGATAGGATACAGCTTGCTAACAAACCGCGTGTTTCAGACATAGAGCGCCTCGGATAGGGTCGCGACTTGCGACCGGGACCAACCTGTAGACATACGGGCCGAGCTGCTCCAGGATCGGTTTGACGCCATCCTTCAATATATGCTCGTGGTTCGTATAATTGTAAAGGTACATTTTCACATAGATTGGAATCGGAGCCGCCTCCCAACTCTCGTAGATTTCATTGGCGGGATCGATGATAAGATTCTGTGAATAGTGAAATTCGTCATTATGGGGCCCCTTGGATCGTAAGAGAATATTCCCGGAATATTCCGCCAACGAAAGGATAGGACAGAAAAATATCTATTCCCAAGGGTTTCGAAGAGAGCGAAATCGGGGATCGAATAAGTCGCCGAGGTGGTCGAAACTTTTCGAACGAGGATAGATGCCAAAAGGTCTGGCAGCAGTTTCCTGCGCCGTCTACCAGTCGATGACACACGTCGGCTTACTGAGCAGTCGCCCTTTTCTCACCCTCTCGAAATTCTCATTGGAGTTAATGCGTCGTGAATTTTTCCCTGAAAGCTCTTGGGAGCTGTAATCTCAATCACTCGACTGACTCCCACTGGGGAAGCACGGTCCCGGAGGGAAGAACATTCCCGCACCTTGCCAGGAATAATCTATCGCATCCCGCTGGCTCCGTTGATTCCCATTAGCGAAAAGAATAATAATTCATCGAATCTTGTCAGCACATTGCCTGTTATTCCGCATGCTTTCATCGAGGGAAACAATTCCGAAATTGAGTTGAAAGCCTAAGTTTCTTCGAAACGTGCATCAGGATTTCGCTCGAGAGACGAGAGTATTTCCTCTTTGTCGAACGGATTATGACGCCTCGGCAAGCGCTCGAATGAGAACCATCAAGAGCCGACATGCTGAGCGGACGATTGCTCATAGAGACGCTCAATCATTCATTCCGTCTCGGTACGACATGGTTACCCGATCACCATGTCGAGCCTTATGGCTGATAGACCGGTTTCCGTCGAGGGACTACACGCTTATGGAATTAGGTATGTACATGCTCGATTCCGTGAGAGCTCGGGTCCGAACCCGAGAGAGCGATCGATCCGCGCATTGTTCGCAACGGAGCGCAACGGAGGATGCGAACAGTGCTCCGATCAATGCGTTGTGTTGACAATGGACAATATAAGATTTCCACGCCAGGGAGTACTCCGTGGGGGGCAAATCTCTATCGACGCGTAGTCGAGAGCTCTAGCCGGAGTCGAAGTTGGACAACTCGAGATAGCATGAGCTATCGCCTCGGGGAGCAGTCTCTGCCTGTTTTCATGGAATCTTCCGAACTTTCTCGGATGGCTTGGAAGCGTCACCGCGGTTATGGTCGTTCGTTCTCGGCAGGGCGTTTTCTGCGTAACACGACTCAAGGACATTGTGAAAGTTCCGCCGTCGCGGCGGCAGCGGACGATTTCGCCGCTGGTACGGCGGATGCTGCTTCCGCATTACCAGAACTTACCAATGCTCGTGTCAGCCCGATACGGAGTTCCGTAAAAAAGGCTCATTGAAAAAACAATATCTTAATTAGGTACTCGCAAACTTTATGCTCCTCCGCAGTACTCCGCTGGCGTTTCGTCCTTGCATAGAGTGTTTGCTTTATTCTCAACGAAAGTTGCGATTTTCAAACGAAAGTTAACTTTTTCTCGGAGGCTTCTTCCGAAAGAGAATATCGGGAAGAAACACTTATGCAAATCCATCGAATTCCACTTTCTGGAGGAGCCGATTCGGAACAATTAGGTGAGCTCTCGTGAACAGGAACGAGGATCCAGCGCAGACATTAGGAATTTTCCCCGCGGTGCGTTTTCCTCGTTCGCTGTTGCGGGATAGAGCGGGGAATTAGTTCTTCTTCCTTGAACGAATAGCTTCTGTCGAACTCTTCCGTCGCAGCAGTCGCGAATTCGCGAAGAGGAGCCGCTGCTCTGGAACGTTTCGTGTCGGATTCTCTACCCGAGAAGCTTCGAAAGATAGTTTGTGCCGGGAGATGTAATTGATTAGCTTGTCAGTCACGACGGATCTACGCAACTCTTTAGGACGGGTTTTCCGCCAGCACAAGATTTCATGAGATGATCTGATATGACAACAAAGCTTCGAGGAAGCCCATCGACCCGGTCGATCCGTTCTCACGAATTTCAAAAGTCGAGATCTGCACCGAAAATCGAGAACTTCCCTCGAGGACTCTGCTACAGAAAGGTCTTTAATCATATCAGAGAGCGAATGAATTCTAGGGAGCGGCAAGTTCGCAGCTCAGAAGGCAGGCCAGAGGTGCACTGCTAGCAGAAGATCAATAATTATGACTTTTCGCTCGGAGCTATCCAACATTCGAATGCGTTGGAGTCACACATCAGAAAATCCGAGCAGATGGGAAAGCATCCAATCAAGCCGAACTCTTTGTGAATCTCGCTCCCACGATCTGCTCCGCGCGGAGATCCCTCTATCCCGTTCCGATACATAGCGTGGATCGAGAGTGCTTCTCGCCAGAGCGACCGTTCTAGAGGTTATTGGCCTTTCGCGAAAGCGATCCGGACGATGCATGGACGGAATCGAGCGATCAGAGACCGCGTGACGATTCCGCGATCCTTTCCGAGCAATGTACGAGTAGAAATGAGCGAATCCCTACGACGATACTCACAGCTTTGACTTGTTGTTCCAGGATTGGCGGGAACGTTGCATACGACACCAATCCTATAATGCACATCAACAGACCCGCGCACACGGAGACGACGATTTTAGTCAACGGGGTGCATCTCTGTCGATCTGGTGGAGGCGATCCCGCTTCGACCATGGTGAGGCTTGATCACAATTCACCGATGAGGATCCACAGCTGCGCGAGCAAGTTTCTCCCACTGTTGACATATCACTCCATGCTTGTCCGGAGGAACTCGATCATCGAGCTGTTGACTTTCAAATCAGGCAGCGAAGCGATCGATCGACCAGCCGAGCAGAAAAGCAACCGATAACCCGATCACCTGAGTGATCCAGAGTGACTAATCGAACGGACAGTTCGTCGAGGGACAGACTCACCAACTCAGTCGGTGAAGGACTGTTCGAAGGTCTGAGTAACCGGCTAGGGGCTAGAACAATATTGCCAAGCCAAGAACACAGCTCTCTTTCGCACTGCTGTCATCGGTAGCTGAGGGGACCGACTCGATTGACAAGGATGTCGCTTGCTGCCGCAATTGCCGCTCTCGCCACCACTGGCGATACCGGATTGCGTTGAGGCACGAGCGGTTTCGGTGGTCGACAACGATGTTGTCCAGGTACTACTCCGTTTGCGGCACTCTTCTCTTGAAGACGTTCGCAGACGCATCAAGTGCGCTATCTACTTCTCGAGTGGATCTTCCGCTCTGGCAGCAATTCCTTGGATTCTGCGAGCAACGTCTCCAGCAAGCTCCGGTGGCAGCAGAGACAGCACTGCTGCAGCAGTGGTGGCGGAGGCGGCAGCAGCAGCTGATATTATAATCACGCACACATTACGCTCGATGGGAGCGGCGATGGAAACGAGCGAGCTGCATCAAACCGCGAGTAGCAGGGAGGAGGACCGCACTCTTTCTTCCCTTCTGTTATGTGCATGTGCTCAATGTTGTCGTTGGAGTGGATTGCGACGCCGCGCCGTCATCATCGAGTCCCCGTTGTTGTCGCCGTCATGTTGGAAGTGAGTGTAACACGGCGATCTCTCCCTCCTTTCCCGGCTGCTGCCGCTGCTGGCGACCGTACAGCACCCACCGCTGCTGCTCCTCCCCCTCTTCCCGCTCGCGCTAACTCTCTTCCGATGAACGCATTTCTGTTTACTGGGGACTCCGGGCGTTCGCGACCTCTCCGCGCACTTCGGATGCCCGGACGTGTTGTTGATAGAAATGATGAAAATTTCGCGCTCGTGCACGAGGATGTCCACTGGTGGACTTCAGTCGAGGCTTTCCGTGTCGAGTGCCGGCCTGGGTGTGGAAGAAACAGAAGAATCGAGAAACGAAGCAGCCGGGCGTCCGCGCGGATCAGGGAATGTCGGTTCTGGAAGTCATAGAGAATTTCGACGGTTTCAACTCGGAATGCCAACACGACAAGCAGCTCTTCCATCTCGGTGGCGCCAAGAGATGCTATCTGTGTTTGTTGGACAGGATTGTGAGACAGCCACCAACGGTGTTGACATACTTCGATCTCGTCTTCCTTGAGAACGCACTGGAGCTGGATGACAAACTGCACGAGCTCCTTCGCGGTTGTCATCGCGACGGCGCGCCTGACTCATTCTGCCTGGCTCAGGTAATGTGGGACACTCTGACATGCTGTCCCAAGCGGGACCTTCGGTCGTGTTCTGCGATTTTGAGCGTCTCCGCCAAGGTCCTCGTTCGGCTCATGAGGTTCATACCCGCAACGAGGTGCGCGGAACTCTCCCGCAGCATCCTCGTCAGCCTGTCCGGTGTCCCCGTCCCGTGCAGGGAAGATGTTATATCGGCGGTCGTCGAATGCGTTCGCGTCAATCCGGACTTATCGAACGGCTTGCGGAATGAGACCCTTCTGCTCCGGGAGAGCTCGCCGAACAGTTTCCAAACACTGATGCTGACCACACAAATTCTTAAATTCGCCGAAGAAGTCTCGATCACGCAAGCAAGAACTTATGCTGACAGCTGTGTGAACATTTTGTTGAACGCCTCTGAAGATGATTTACGGTGGAAATGTCTGGCCGCTTCCGGCCTCGAGCTTGTGTCCAAAAAACACCCCGAGGCTCTCGAGCAAGTCCCAAACCAAACATTGTACAGCTTATTCGAACGCTTGGACTCCTTCGAAAAAGCGGTAGCCGAAAAACTGTGTAACGCCTTCGCGTCGTCGAACATGGATTCGGGGAGTATGCGGGAGAAATGCCTCGACAAAATTTTCGCCGATTGCCTCCTCACCTGCCGGAGAGACTCGGTGCTCGAGATCGTTCTCGATAGCTTGATCGCGAGCGGGCGACAATTCCTCGAGCACATTTGTGCGAACATCAACACCCTGCTACAGTCGCTTCTCTCGCTGCTCGACACTCGGTCTGCCAATCGACAGATCGCTGGAAAAGTTTTCGACTTGATGAGGGCACTGTTCTCTGTGGAGCGCACTTGTCTCATAAATGAGCTGCTCGTGGCGAAAGTGTTGCACCATTGTGCCCGAACTTACGATGACAGCTCCGGAGTGCTGTTGGGTGCGCGACGCTGTCTCGTCCTGTTTCTGAACGGTGGCCATCTCCCGAACAAGACAGACTTCGCAGAAGCCAAGAACGCAATTTTCAAATGCTTTTCTGGGAATTACGACGATGAACTTCCTCTTCCGGACCTTTTGCGAGCCCTATTCACTTTCATTGAGACATTTTCTCCGACTGAGAGCGAACACGTTGAGCAGACTCTGTTCTTTTCTACTTTACTGAGAGTACTCGTGCCCTATATCGTCGACAACCTGAGCCGAAGACAATGGGAAGAGGCGGATAGCCTACCGCGCTTGCTGAAAATTGTCGTCAGAGCTGTCGATCATCTGAGAAACTATGACCATCGAAACAATCTGCAAAGTACCCTGGAAGCTTGCCTGCCCCATTTATGGCCTTTGATCAAGTCTTCAAGACGGAATCCCGACGTTCAGAGACTGCTTACCTTCTTTGTGTTCATCGTCGGCGGACACGAAGAGGATGAAGATTTTGAGATTATTGAGGCGGGTTTCCGACATTGGGACGAGGAGAAGCCGCTCCCCGAAACCCTCTACGTAAGACTGTCTCTCTGCCACTTGGATCGGGATGGAAGAATCGACGCCAGGTCAATCGGAGTGAACCTCGGAATTCTATCCTCTGCCTGCCGAGTATGGTCTCCAACTGTGCGGGGGAATCTATTTGAAAATATTTTCCGCTTTTCCCTCCGAGAAATGGGACGGAACGAACAGATCGAGCTGCACAGAATGCAGCTCAGATTCTCATCGCGACCGGTTGACGCGAAGTACCTCACCGAATTTCCAAACCTCATCGACGATTTGATGACTTCCAGAGAGTTGAGATTACACGCTCGGAAGGCTCTGATAAAACTCTGCGAAGACCAAAACCTCGACGTTCTTCGATACGTCCTCGGAACTCATCATCAGTGGAGAGAGTTCGTTGTACACAGCGTTCTTGCTAGTCATGACCAGGATAAGCGAAACGAATCGTTCCGGAGACTTTTCTCGTCCGAGGAGCCCATTCCACAGTTTGTAGTAGGGTCTCTCGTATCGCTCGCTGGGACGTTTTTGGAAAACGGATCTCCCCTCGTTTCCCGAGCACTCGAGGTAATCCTGATGGCTTTGAAGACACCTCTGGATTTGGGAGACTCGGAGAATGTGCGGCCGGATCTCGAAACGCTCCTATACCGCCTTTGTACGCGAGTGGAGGAGGATAGCGGCGATGACATGGCCTTAACGGCGTCCTTGCTAGTTTCGTTTTCCGGATCAAGCTGCGGAGGCACTCGGCACGAGCTCATAGAGAATATCGCGAACGCAACTCCTCTGCTGCCGAAGCTCGTGAAAGCTAGCCTGTCCGATTCGGTCGAGCTCTTGCTGTTTGTCTCGCAGGTGACACCGCTCGAACGAATAGTTATCCCCTCTTGCGAATTGAAAGAGTTGATCGAGAACAGCGGAACGCCACCGAAAATCAGACGTGCGGCTCTCCTCGTGATGAGCCAGGCGGTGGATTCGAAATCAACCTCCATTGTCCTAGACTCGGCGTTCTCGCCTGACGAGCTGCTGGCCATAACAGATGATCTCTTGCTGCATCCACTATTCGAAAATGAAGCTCTCGAGCTTTGGTCTGTCATCCGTAAGAACTCACCCGATCCGGCTCTAGCTACAATCATAAGAGAGCGGATCCGGATGGCATTAATTTCCGATGATTTCTACTCATCCCGAGTAACCCTCGTACTGCTGAACCACTTCCGCAGTTCGGCGAAGTGCCGCGAATCAATTAGAGGATTGCTGCCGTATCTCAGAGAATGGACGAAGAGATTCGCCGCGAACAGACAGAGCTCTTAGATAGAAAATCAAAAGCCGCATGTCGAGCGTGACGAGATCCACGACTCCTGAATTGGAGGGACTGCGGTCCATGAGGTCGGACCTCGAAGAGTTGACCGTAACCGCCTCGATATTTTTAAAATTCTGTCGCTACAGCTGTGCTTAATCCTGGAGAGTTCCAGGATTCATCCTCTCCATCAGCCTGCGGAATACTCCGATGGGTGTTTTTATAGGATGAATCGCTTTGTGCGGAATTAAGTGCTGATTGTGGCATTCATTCGTCCACAGAAGAGCAGGGACACTGCTTCGGTGTACGGAAAACAAATCACCGGGGCGAGTTTCGATAGCGACTCCTTCTGAGGGCGTCGATCGGGATTCCGCCGGAGGAAAGGTTTCTGATTTCAAAATAAAACACTGTCGAGAGATGCCGCATGTCGCATGCCGGAGGGGATGCAGTTTTTTTCATACTGCTGGCTTTCGACATCTTTCATGCCGTTGATGACACGTCGAATTCATAAAGTCGCCATAAGGGGTGCCATGACAGGCACGGCGAAATGTCGTATCACTGCGAATCGGGCGATTCCATCCACATCCACAGAGTCATTGGCTTCCGATCCCCCGAGAAACCGGAAGGCGGTGACTCATGTTCTCTGACAATTTCGATTTGATGTCTCACGGTTTGAAATTTTCGGTCGGAGAATCTTCTCCCGACGAAGAATATGCCGTGATAGTTCGCTCCGCTAGAAGATTGATGATCGCGAGGGTCTCTGTGTGACATGTTTCGATAATCGAATGAGCCCTTCAAGCTCAGGGAAGAAAGTCAAAACTTCCAGTCAACGCTGATCGCTTGTCTTGCAGAATGAAGTCTCGCAGTCGTTATTCGGTTATAGACTTTCTTGCCGTTGAAGTGATTTCCTCGAATAGTGAACTTATGCAATCGCTCCAATATCTTCCCCGAAAGTGACACTCCACAGCGGAATTTTATCGCCAAACATCGTGCCTCTTGGATTCCATATCAGTCACTCGAAAAATGTTTCATTGTGCGGTCGGTCGAATCCACGCGGCTCCGGTTACTGATTGTCATGGCGACGTGGTGTTTTTCCATGCACGCCCGCGCGCGCGGTCTAGATCTGATGGTTTGAGTTTCCTCATCTTGCTTCATGGAGCTCCCTCCATCCTCTTCAGACAGGAATTTCTGTTCGCCGATCCCTGAGTAGGGAAGTGAGGCTCTCGGAGCAGGCAGCGTGGGATACCTCGAAAAACGCAAAATCTCCCAAACCCCAGCGATCTGGTTTCGGATTCCCAGAATGACCTCGACCATGGGACCTTCACTCACAGAAATCATCTATACATGCAAGGAATTTCGGGA